CCCTCCCCCTCCTCCCCCTCCTCCTCCTCTTCCTCCTCCTTATCCTTCTACCCCTCTTCTCCTCAGTCTCCCCATCCTCCTCCTCCTCCTCCTCATCCTCCTCGTCCTCCACCTCCTCGTCGTTCTCCTCCGAATCATCATTCAGTCAAGTGCCCTTGATGGGGCCCAAGCGCGCCGCGTCTGGCAGTGGCGACGGAGATGGATTCCAGCGACGGCAAACTATCGGAAGGCACCCTGGAAGACGAGAAAGCAGCGTTCCTCTTTTCCTGCTCGCTTTCCTCCTCCTCCTCCTCCTTTTCCTCCCTCCTCGTCTTCCTCCTTCCCTTCCTCCTCTTCCTCCTCCTCCTCCCTTTCTCCTCCTCGACCTCCTCCTCCTCCTCCTCCTCCTCCTCCTCCTCCTCGTCCTCCTACTCTGGGGGTGTGCAGACATTGCGCGTCGGCGAGCCTTCGGCGGCGTTCCCAAAGGGGCCAAGGCCACGATCCTCGTGAGGGGTGTGCCCAAACTGGGCGTCGAGCGGTGGCCCCAGGGCTCAGATCCGTGCGGGGGGGAGTACCGAAATTGGACGTCGGTGGGCTCTCGGCGACGCTCCCAATGGGGCGGAGGCCATGATCATCCCAAGGGATGTGCAGAAGTTGCACGTCGGCGGGCCTTCGGCAGCGCTTCAAATGAGGCCATGGCCGCGATCCTTGTGAGTGGTGTGCGAACTTGCGCGTCGGTGGCCCTCGGCAGCGCCCCCACTTGGACCAGAGGGCCACGATCCTCGTGAGGGGTGTTTTGACATTGGGCGTCGGTGGGCCGTCGCCACATTGACATTTGACATGAAGACCAGGCGCGGGAGCTAGCCCTCGAGATGGAAGCCGCCGATGCGCTCTCGGAGGAGGTCGCCGGGGCCGCACTCGACTGGCGGTAGTTAGTTACGACGAGGTCGACCTTCAGATGCTCCCGGGCCTCCTGGCGCGGGCGGGTGTCCTGCCCTGGCTGGCGCGCCCAGTGCTGGCGGCCTACGGAGCGCGTCGGCGCATCCGAGTCGGGAAAACCCTTGTGGCGGCCTCGACCCTGGGCCTGCTCCTGGGCTGCCCCCTCGCTGTGTCCTGTGTTCATCCTGGCAATGCGCACGTGGCCGTGGAGGTAGGCGACAGGCCGGGTGGATGACAAGCTCTGCCAGCGCATCTACGTGGACGATTTTTACATTTTGGGCCAGGGCGCCTGCCAGGCTCGGTGGCGAGGCTGCCGAGAGCGTCCACGATGCGCTTCGCCTCACAGACGCCTTCGAGACGGGGATGGGGTGGCGGCTGAATCGGGAGAAAAGCCGGGAGTTCGCCAGCAGCCGTGCGGCGCGAAAGTGGCTCGCGGAGCAGACGCCCAGCATCCGAGCCCAGCCCGGTTTCCGCGACCTCGGGGTGGCGGCTGTTGCCGGGGGCAGCCGCCGCGGCGGGGTCACCGCAAGCCAGGGGGAGGGAGTACTTGGTCGCTTCTCGCGCGTTGGGATGCTGCCCCTGCGCTTCGGCCAACGCTGCCCCCTGGGCGCCGCCGCTGGCACAGCGGCCCCGATGTGTGGCGCATCCTGCGGGCGGCCCCCCGCTCGCGAGTTCGCCGCGCTGCCGACCGCCGCGCGGCGGGCGGTGTGCAGGGGCAGCTTCCGCGCAGCAGCGGAGATCGTCTTCGGCACCCTGGCGACGGGATGGCGGCTGGACCCCCTCGCCGTGGCTGTCCTCGCGCCGCTGTGGGTGAAGGCGCTCCGCCGCCAGCGCTTCCCCGCTGCCTTGTGGCGTGCGGCGGCCGGAGCCGTGGCCGCCAGGCACGGCCGTGGGGCGGGCCCGATAGCTGCCGCGGCCCGCAGCATGGCGGAGCTCCAGCTCGGGGACGACGTCAAGGTCAGGAGAGGGGTGCCCGCCGCGCCAGCAGGCTGGCGCCCAGAGAAGCGTTCGCTGCAGGACACCCGCGCCGTCCTGCTCAAGGCCTGGGCGCGCTGGTTGCCCGCGTTTTTGCGGCTCGCCGTGCCGACTTTGCTCGCGTGCAGGCTGGTGTTAACAGGTGGGCCACCCGGCGGCTGTTGGAGGAGAAGGGCGCCTTGGCCACGGACGCAGCTGGCGCGTTGCGCTCTGTGCTGACTGGTAACGTGGCCGCGAAGTCGGGGAAGCCAGAGCGGCGTCCGCATTGCGGAGCCGCGTGCGAAGTTCGGTAACACCGCTTCTGGGAATGCCCGCTGTGGGCCGAGCCGTGGCGCTGGGCGCTCGTGGCCCGGGGCCTCTCGGCCGCTGCCTTGCGAGCCCGCCTGCCGCCCGTTGACGCCCGCCTGGCCGCACTCGCCGCTGCCGCCGTCGCGGGCGCCCCCGCGCTCGCGCTCCCGCCGTTTATCCCGCCCGCGGAGGGCGCGGCTCGCTGCCGGCCGACGGTGAATTCGTGCACCCCTGGGACTTGCTCGTGGCCCGCGCAAGGTACGGCTTCCGCCTGGAGGATTCCGCTGGGGCGCAGACTGACCACAGCGGCTGGGTCGACGGGGCGCAGACTGCGCAACGCGCCGAGCTCACGGCGGCGGCGCAGGCGTCCCACCTTGCCCAGAAACCGCTCGAAGTCGCTACTGATTCGCAGTACGTCCGGAATGGTCGCCGCGCTCCGGCAGGGCGCCTCCCCACGGGAGCGGTCGTATTCTGATGTGTGGGAGGTCATCGCGCCCCAGTGCCGCCGCGGGCTCCTGGCGGCGCGGTGGATCAAGGGCCACATAGACGAGGACGACGCGGCCACGCGCGGGGCTTCAGCAGAGGACCACCTGGGTAATGCCGCTGCGGACCGGCTGGCAGGGGCGGTGGCGTCAGCGCGGCTGCCGCCGCCAGGGTCGCGGGGTCGCGTTGCCAGGTGAAAGAAGGGGTCTGCAACAGGGGGTCTTCAGTGGGGGCTGAATGGCACGTGCAATGAATCGCTCATGTATGTGATCGAGAATGATGGACATCCAATGTTGGCGGTCATGGAGGGCCAGTCGTTCGTTCCCGCGTTGCCCGCGCGGGCAAACGCGCCGTCCATCCATTCTCGTTCATGCGTGCGGGCGTTCTTGCATATCGCGCGTGGGGCGACGAAGTGGGGTGCAAGTGTGTCTTGATTGTGCGATTTATGATCGCGTTTGTTTCCAAACGATGATTTGTCGACCCCCAAGACAGGCTTTGGAAAGGGTCCTGATGTGAATTCACATCTTCCTTTTATCCAGAAAGTGAATCACGCTTTCTTTTTCCCAACATGTGAATTCACATTCTGACCCCTTCATACAGAGTCGTATACCAAAATTACAAACTCTGAATTCAAATTCTCATTTTTCCAAAATGGGAATTTACATTCTCCTGTGTCCCAACATGTGAATTTACATGTTGGTTTCCCCAACATGTGAAATCACAAATTGCCTTAGCCCTCAAGATCCCCCAAACTCAGGCGCAGCGTTCCGCGTGTCAGATTGGCTGGGGAGATTTCGACACTCACCTTACCGCTTTCGTTTACTCCAACCTTTTCTTTTTGCGCCCTCAGCTCACGTTGCCTTCGTCGCCTTTCCCGAACCCCCCGCCTCTTTGCTTCGCTTGCCTTCCAGTCTCGCGCATGGGTGCAGGCGGGGAGCTTCAATTGGTTCGCCCGCCGAACACAGCAATCGAGGATGTATCGCCCATGCGTGGCCCGTAGAGACACCATTGCCGGGACCCTGCGCTCGACCCCCATTTCCACTCCCAAAGTTGGACGCCCTCCTGACGCTGCAGGTCCTGCTCGCTGGAGTGGAGTTGGCGGCGCTCAAGCTTGACCAAGCATGTCAGCAGTGTGCAAGCGCCACCGCACGCGCGGCGCCGCTGGGCTGCGCCAGGGCCGCGGCGCCGCGAGCCCCGCGTGGGCGGCGACGCGGCAGTGGCGGCGGCCGCGGCCAGGCCCGCGCTGCCGCCAGCGCCTCGCCCGAACGTTGCGGGCCATTGGTGGGATCACGTTTCTGCAGGATGGCGGGACCTGGAAGGAGGAGCGGGAGGCTGCGATCTTCGAGGTACACAACAGGCAAGGCTCAGTCAGACTGCTCTTCTGGCCTCGAGTTCCTTGTCTGGTGTGCCCTGGTCAAGTCAAACGTGCCTTTTTGCCTCTGCATTGCGTTCGGCTTTTGAGCTGCATTGGGTGCATCGCCAACGGTGCGACGCTCGAGACCTTTTTGTTGAAATGAGACACGTGGTGCGGTTCAGTCGCTTGTACAAAGTGGGGCACGAGCTTGGGTGATAGGCTGGTATGGCCAGGTGGGGGGGGCGCTCCTATATTGGGCGCGTGTGTGGGGAAAAAGTGCGGTGGCACTGTCTTTCAATGGGCAAAATTGTGACGGAGTCGGGGTCTGGCGCAGGCCCTGTTGGATGAGATCCATTTCTCTGACGCCAAGCTGGGACCATCCCAGTGGTATGCACAGATATTCTGATCGATTCAAAGGGGTAGTCAACCGATTCCCTTGCACGTGCATGTTTTCGCCTTGCGCTGATAATCTTGGTTCGCATTGGAATGTGAACCTAAGGCGCTTATCCAGCATACCTAGGCAATGGCTTCTGCTTTGCTGGCTAGCTGCCGCGAGGGAAAGTCTACGACGTGGTGGAACCCAACGGCACCAAACACAACATGTACATACATTTGTATATTAGTAGGTATGTACACATATTTGTGTATATATATATATATATATGCATATGTATACATGTGTGTGTGAGGTCGGATTGTGGTGGGGAGCCCATTCGGATGCGAAGGACCATGCGAGCTCAGGGTGGGCCAGGAACCATCCCATCGAACCATCCAGGGTCAAGCGCGAGCCAGGGCTGAATGGATCGCATCCACGCGGGCGCGGTTCAGGTTTGCCCCCTCCGCCAAGCGCACCATCGCATCATCGACCCAGGCCGCTACCTCGAGGACAGCGACAAAACCAGGGTGGTTTCCCCTGCCCCCTTCTCCCCCGTGTCCGCCTCTGGCGCCGCTCGTGCTGCCGCCGCCGTCGCCCTCCTTGCAGGCCCCGTGGTGGGAAGACGACGTGGGTGGCGGCCTGAACTCGCCGCCCCTGAAGAGGCAGAAGGGGCACTCCGCGTGGGAGCAAAAGGAGCCGCGCTTCGTCGTCGCCGCCGTTGCCACCGCCGCTGGCGCCGTCGTCGTCGTCGTCGTCGTCGTCGTCGTCGTCGTCGTCGTCGTCGTCGTCGTCGTCGTCGTCGTCGTCGTCGTGGTCGTCGTCGCCACTTTCGCCACTCGTCGTCGTCGTCGCCGCCACCGTTGTTGCCGCCCTCGCTCCCGCCGCCGCTCGTGGTCGTCGTCCTTGCCCTCGAGGCTGGAGGGTATGAGGCGGGGAAGGAGGAGGAGGAGGAGGAGGCGGAGGAGGAGGAGGAAGAGGATGAGGAGGAGGAGGAGGAAGAGGAGGAGGAGGAGGAGGAGGTGGTGCCCCAGCGGGCGGTGGATATAGATATATTTCGGCCCCCGGGAGTCCCAATGTGTCCATGTCCACAGCCTGTCGAGGCTCCGAAAACTGACCCTCCAGGCGATGGATATTGGATAAATTCCCGCCTCGAAACGCATGCCGCGGGCGCCAGCAGTCTGTGACGGGAAGGGCTACGAGGCCATATCCAGCGGTTGGAGGCCGAGAGCAGCACGCGTTCAGCGCGTACGCTGGAACACGCCGCGCGGATTGGCGGCTACATCATTCAGAAGGACGTCGGCTTGGTGTTCAAGCGCGCCAGCCAGTACGACGTCAACTAGTGCGAAGTCTACGCGGACATCGTCATGGAGATACCGGTGAACCACGTTTACGCCGCCTGCGACGATTGCGAGTCCGACGCCTACCTCGGCCACGGCGAGTACAACGGCTTTGACGAATACACCACGCACGGCTTCCCCACCTTGCCATCAGTGCTACGAGGGCCACAGGCAGGGCTACGAGAACCACCAGCAGAGCTACCAGGGCAGCTGCCTACGCGACAAGAGCCACCATCAGAGCTACGAGGGCCACAAGCAGAGCTACGGGAACTGCCCGCAGAGCTAATTACCAGGGCAACCTGCTACGCGACGAGGGCCATCAGCAAAGCTACGATGGCAAGAAGCAGATCTTCGAGAACCACCCGCTGAGCTACGAGGGCCACCAGCAGAGCTTCGAGCACCATCCGCTGTGCTCCGAGGGCCACCAACAGAGCTTCAATACTCACCAGCTGAGCTACGAGGGCCACCAGCTGTGGTACCAGGGCCACCTCCGCAGCCAAAAAAAACACAAGCGATACGCAGGCCATTGGCTGAGCTGTGAGAACGACAGGCTGAATTACGAGCGCCACAGGCAGGACACCAAAGGCGACACGCAGCAAGGGCCACCTGCACCGGTGGAGCTCCAAGGAACCCCAGCGGGGCCACAAGGGCAACGACCAGAACTTCAAGGGCAACGCGCACAGCCACGAGGGCCATTTGCGGAGCTACAAGGGCCACCAAAAGAGCTGCGAGGGCCACGAACAGGACCCCAAGAGTCACGAGCTGAGCTACGAGGTCCCCGATAAGAGCTTCGAGGGTCACCTCCGGAGCTTCGCGAGCCACATGCTGATTTACGAGTGCCACAAGCTGCGCTACGCGGGCCGCAAGCAGAGACCCCAGAGCCACCAGCAAAACTCCGAGAGCGCAACTCCGGGAAAACTGAAAACTACGACGTGGCAGACGACGATTCCGATTCGGACCACGGAGACGGGCCACCAGCACAGCTACGAGGATCACCTGCAGAGCTAATTTCGAGGGCTGCAAGCAGAGATCCGAGAGCCACCGACCGAGATACGAGATTACCAGCACAGCTACGAGGGTTACCGGCTGAACTACGTGAGCCTCTGTGAGAGCAACCAGCGGCGCTACCAGGACCACCTGCTGAACTACGAACGCCGCCTGCGGAGCCACCAGAGCTACAGGCTGACTTAAGAGAACTTCCACCTGCGCTAGGAGGACCACCAGCTGAACAGCGAGGGCCACAAACTGGACCACAAGGGCCACACGCAGGGCGACGAGGACAACTGGCTGAGCTACAGGTGCCACAAGCTGAGCAGCGAGAGCTGCGAGAATAGCTACGCCTGCCACCAGCTGAACGACAGTATCCACAACCGGAGCCTCGATAGCGTTCAGCACAGCTACGAAGACCACCAGCGCAGCATCGATGGCATGGCTGCAGACTGAGCGACGAGGGCCGCAAGCACAGTTCCGAGAGCCTCCAGCTGTCCGACGCGTGCTTCCACAGGAGCAACGAGGGCCACAGGCTGAGCTACGAGAATCACCAGCGAAGCTACCATGGTCATATCCTGAGCTACGAGGGCCACCAAGCGAGGTACTGGGGTCACAGACTGACTGGCGTGAATCTACAGCAGTGCTACTGGGGCCACTGTCTGAAGAACGGGGACCACAAACTGGACGACAAGGGCCACGCGCAGAGCTACGAGGACTTCCGGCTGAGCTGCGAGGACTTCCTGCGGAACTCGACTGGGCCGTCCACGACCTGGCTCGATAGTCGGAGACACAGGCCTTGGCTCAAGGACTACAGCTTGCAGGGTGAGCGCACGGAAGCACATCTCCAGCAGGTACTGGAGCAGCAGTGGCAAATCGTGAAGCGTAAAAGATGGACGGGCCCACCCCATACGGGCCCACCCCAAAGCATTAATGAAGTGATCTGGGACATGGTTGTTAAAAAGCTCGGCCAAAACGAGGCGGAAGGGCGGCGAGCGTGGGGGGGGGAGGCGTCTGGGGCGGATGCGGGGTAGTCGGTGAGGGGGGGCGAGGGGGGCGAAGATGGAACGGAGTGTGGCGGAGGGAGAGTAGGCGGAAGGGGCGAGGGGGCTCATACTCCTCCACGGCGTTTTCCCTCCGCATTCACCGCGTCGTCGCCGTCTTCGGTGCCCTCAGGATCCTCGGGCATCTCTCGGCCCCCTTTGACGTTTTGTGGCGCCCCCCGCTGGGCCCGAAACGGCCGGAAGACAAATCCGTGCATGTTGGGGGCCCCAGGGCCCCGACCCATATATATATATATGTATATATATATATATATGTATATGTATGTATGTATCTATATACATAGTACACGCAATTGCATACTTCATGTGCTGGTATGCACGTATGAAGTTACAGTGCATTGTATTTGTGTACGAATAATATGCTAACGCATGCTGTACATGTATGTGTATACGTGTATACGTAGCAACGCATATTTACATACATATATGTATACATGCATGTATACAAACATACCTAAACACGTACATACACACCTACACCCATACATACATGTATACATGCATACATAACTGGCTACAAACATACACGCATACATACATACAGACAGGCATACATGCATGCATGCATGCATTCATGTACCACTACATCCATTCATACATACATAACGGCAGACAGACAGACATGCATGCATACAAATATACGTACATACAAACATACATACATACATACTTACATACATACATACATACATGCATGCATGCATGCATACATACATACATACCTACATACGTACATCTATACACACATACATACATACATACATACATACATACATACATACAGACATACAGACATACAGACACACAGAGATACAGACATACAGACATACATACATACATACATACGTACGTACGTACGTACATACATACACACACATACATACATATATATCCATACATAAATACATACATGCATACATACACACATACATACATACACATGTGTGGATCTATCTCTCTCTCCATATATATACATATATATATATATATATATATATCTATATATATGTGTGTGTGGCAGTCTCGTGAGCCTCTCCGTGCCTTCCTTTGGAGCACTTTCGGGCCTTTGTTGGCCCGCCTGAGGGCCCATTTCGGCCGTTGCGGGTCCCTCGTGGCTCGTCGTGGGGAGCTCAGCCTGTTTTGGGGCTCTCCTGGGGCCCTTTCCGACCATGTACCTTCTGTACCGCTTGACGCTCTCTTCAGCCCATCTCGGAAACCTTTTTGGGGCCTCTGGGGCCGCTTGGGGCGCGTTGTGGTAACCTCTTGGGCCGTCGCCACCGCTGGTAGAACTGAAAAGCGAAGCTCCCAGAAATATACGCTTTTACATCGGAAGTACTTGATTTTCGCCCGTGGAGGGCCTTCTCAGCGGCCTCTTGGACAGTCGTGTGGGGGGTCCTTTTGGGCCTTTTGTGGCCCGTCTGAGAGTTCGTTTCGGCTGTCCCAAGCCCCTCTTGGCATGTCATGGGTAGCTAAGCCATCTTGGGGCCCTCATGGAGTCCTCTCCGACCATGCAGGGATCTTTTCGGGCTGTATTGGAGCTCTTTTGTGCTGCTCGACGCTCTATTGAGGCTGTCTTGGAGCCCTCTTGGGGGCCTCGTGGACCGTGCGGCGCCGATTTGGGGTGCCTTTGGGGCCGACGTGGCCGCCGATGGAACATAAGAAGCGAATCTCCTAGAAATGTACGTTTTCCCATGGGAAATGCTAGTTGTTTTGCGCCCGGGAGCCTTCTCAACGGCCTCCTGGACCGTCTTCATGGAGTCCTGGTAGACCTTTTGTGAGCCTTCTGGGAGCCCAGTTCGGCCGTTTCGGGTCCCTCTTCGCCCGTCATGGTGGGGACCTGAGCCCGTCTTGGGGCCCTCTGGGGCCCTTTCCGACCATGTAGGGATAATCTGGTGGCCCCCTCGAGGTTCCTGGGTACTCTCTGGTGCCGTGTTGTAGCTCTCTTGTGCTGCTTGAAGCTCTTTTCAAGACGTCTTGGGGCCCTCTTGGGGGCCTCTTGGGCCGTCTGGGGCTCATTTTGGGAGCCGCTGGGGCCGTCGCGGCCGCTGGTAGGACTGAACAGCACATGTCCAGGAAATATACGTTTTTCCATAGGAAATGCTTGATGTTTGCCCTTGGAGGGTCTTCTCAGCGGCCTCTTGGACCGTCTTGAATGCCTTCGTGGCCGTCTACGAGCAGTCTTGGGCTGTCTTCGAGCGCTCGTGGCCCGTCCGGAAGCCATGTCAGTGCGCTCTTCAGCCACCTTCCAATCAACCTGGCGCGCTTTGGCCGCCTCTTGGGCCAGCTTGGGAGCCTGGGGGGGTCCAGGGCCCCTTCTGAACTCTCTTGAAGCCCTCAAGGCCCCCCCGGCCCGCCATGCGAACCAGTGGCCGCAGTCCTGGGCCTTCCCCTGGCCTACTGCGATGTGTATATCTATTATATATCTATACTCACATATATACACATATGTATGTGCGTATGTATATGGATGGATGGATGGACGGATGACTTGATGTATGTATGTATGTGTGTATGTATGTATGTATATATGTATGCATGTATGTATGTACGTACGTAAATATGTATGTATGCTTGTATTATGTAGACATGTGTATATGTATGCATGTATGTAAGTATATATATATATATATATGTGTGTGTATGTATGTATGTGTGTATGCATGTATGCATGCATGTATGTATGTAGGTATGTGTGTATGCATGCATGAATGTATGTATGCATGTATGGATGTATAGATGTATGTATGCATATATGCATGCATGCATATATGAGTGTATGTGTGTATGTATGCATGCATGCATGCATGTATGCATGCAAGCATGTATGTATGTATGTATGCATGTATATGTGTATGTAATATGTGTGTTAGTATTTGTAATCATGAATGCATGTAGGTGTGTATGTATGCATGCATACATGCATGTATGTGTGTGTATGTATGCATATATGCATGTATGTATGTATGTATGCATGAATGCGTGGCAGTGTGAGTGAGTGAGTGAGTGAGCGAGTGCGTGTATATATATATATAGATATATATATATATATGTAAACATACAAGCGCAGGCCGACATATTTTCCTCTTGAACCCCACATGTCGGAAGCGACGCGCCGATTCCTTCCGTTCTCCTCCCACATCCTCTTGCCTCTTCCCTCATCCTTCCCCTCTTCATCCTGGGAAGGCCCCCCCCCCGTATAATCATAGCATTGGTCTTCAGATCCACAGTTCCGTGGACAGCATGGTGCAAAGTGTTGGCAGGGGAGACGCAATTCGAAATCCCGCTGAAGGGTTTAGCACAAAGTGTTGGCGGGGGAGACGCAGTTCGAAATCCCATTTGCGCAGGCCGAAAGATTTTCCTCTTGAGCCCCACATGTCGGAAGCGACGCGCCGATCCCTTCCGTTCTCCTCCCACCTCCTCTTGCCTTTTCCCTCATCCTTCCCCTCTTCATCCTGGGAAGACCCCCCCTCCCCCGTATAATCATAGCATTGGTCTGCAGATCCACAGTTCCGTGGATAACCTGGTGCTTCATTTGCGGTGCTCCGCGGGTCCAATTTCCCGTGGGCCCCGGATGTTAATTATTATTATACATTCATTCCCGGGAAATACATGGATCCACCGTTTATTTCACACACAGGAAATTGGATCCGCGCAACACAGAAATAGGATCCACGAAACTTTCCCACGCCCGACAAGGGATCCAATCTGATCCATCTGTGTTTTCATATTTTTAGCACAAGGGGAAACACTTTCGGCCTGGGGATGTATATACATATATATATATATACACAACTACTCATATGTTTATATATATATATGTATAGGTGTATTGATCTGAATATCGCTATGTATCTTTATATCGCTTACTATTCCTATCCCTCTCTCTCTCCCTTGTGTTCTCTTCCTCTCGCAATGCACGCTCGGCCTCGCATGTTCATCGTGACGGGGCAGGCTGGCCCGACCACAGCGAGACCTCGGACGCTGTGTTTCATGTCACTTGGCAAATGCCTTCGGAAGCTGTCGACACTGTCCATCGGAGCACGCTTCCGTCGCGGATCGCTTCTTGATGGCCACGGTGGACCCACGAACGGCCCTTGGGGCGCCGAAGTCGTGAGAAAGAGGCGTTGTGTTGTGGTTTTGGCGCCTGGGGGCCAAGAGGGCGACAAGATGGCCCAAGAACGCTCCAAGGCAGCCCAAAACCGCACAACAGCGTTTCAAAATTGGTCCATCATGTCGTGAAGACAGCCCAAGAGAGCTTTAGAACGGCCAAGATGCCCTCAAAGGATTCCCACGAGGCGTTCAGGAAGCGAAACAATTAGATGTTTCAATTGTTTTTGAAGGTTTTTCGTGCTCTCGCTATTTCGTGTTTCCGACGGTCCAAGCCAGCCCATGAGGCCGCAGAAATCAGCTCAGGACGGCCCAAGAGGCACCCAAAGAGGGCGCCACGACTGCGCAAGAGAGCCCCAATATGGTCCAAGAGTGCCCCGACACGGCCCAAGAGGCGCCCCAAGATCGCCCAAGAGGGCCCCAAGACGGCCCCAAGAGGGGCACAAGAGGGGGAATACGAACCAACGCTTCGAGGCCCAGGCCCAAGAGGGGGAATACGAACCAACAAGAGGGCCCCAACGGCCCCAAGAGGCCCCCAACAGAGCCCAAAGAGGCCCCCCAGAGGCCAGCCCCACGAAGCCCCAAAGGGGCCCAAAGAGACGTCCAACGAGCACCCCAAAGGGCCCCCAAGAGGCTCCCCAAACTGCCTTCAAGAGGCCCCCGGGAAGCCTCCCACGAATACCAAACGAACTTCCAAGAGGCCTCTAACCCACAATCAAGGCACGGTGGCGGGATGGGCCGACGGCCATTGTCGAGAACGTGAACCGAGACCTCGAGATCGGCGCCCCAGGAGACCCCCAGGAGGGGTCAAGAGGTCCCCAAGAGACTTGGCGACAGATCACTGGTCGACCGGTCGATGAGAGCGGAGGAGAAATGAGGAAGAGGCAGGAGGAAACAGATAATGTTGACCTCATTATTCATGACCCCCTTGTTGTCTTAATGCGACCAGCACTCGACCAGCTAGAAACTAAGCGCGCGCGAAGCGCGCGCGATGGTTATAATCAAGATGTGTATGGATATGTGTATATATATATATATATGCGTGTGCGCATGTATATATTTTATGGTGGGATGTGCATACGATCTACATATGTTAAAAAGGAAAGGGAAAGAGAGAGAGAGAGAGAGAGAAATAATGAAAACATAGAGAGAGAGAGAGAGAAAGACAGAGAGACAACAAGAGAGAGAGAGAGAAAACGATAGAGAGCTACTCATACAGGAAAGAGAGAGAGATAAACAAAACAACAAACAAACAACAAGCACGCGCGAGAGAGAGAGAGAGAAAGAGAGAGAAGCCGACAACAAAAGAGAGCGATATAAATAGAGAGAGAGAGAGCGAGAGCGAGAGAAAGAGAGAGAGAGAGAGAGAAGCAGAGAGACATAACAAAAAGGGAACGAGAGAGAGAGAGAGGGAGAGCGACAGACAGATCGCAACTTTTCGGCGGGCCGAATTCCGTCTGGGCGCGCCGGGTACTGGCGCCCGCTGCGCCCACCTCTCTGGCGGGAGGGGCCGCGTGCCACTGGCAGGGGTGGCAAGCGGAGCCGAAAGGGACCCTACTGGGAAAGGTGGCTGCTTTGTGGCGATAAGACCCGTCCCTCATGAGACCGTTTTTTTTGAATCGGCGGTAACCCGGGTTATCCCGGGGGGGGGGAGGGGGCCGGCCGATAACCTAGCCCCCCCTCCCGCAGACCTGCAAAACCGGCAAGTTTAGCTTATCCTGGGGGGGGGCAGGGGGGGCAAGCCCGATAACCCGGGTCATCGCCCGACCCTAAAAAAAGAGTCTCCATGCACCCCTGGAAACATAGCGGCACTGGCTTTAAGCGCGTTTTGGCGTGCGCGCCTCGGAGCCCCGAGAAGAGAAGGCGCCGCAGTGGGCCCCCCCCCCTCCGGCGTGCCAGGGCCTGGTCTGCAGAACAGGCAGCCAGGTGCTCGCGCAGCGCGCGGCACAGTGGGGTGAGAACAGGCGCAAGCGGCCCCACCCAATGGGGGGGTGGCGAGGGCCTCCCCGCGAGAACCAGAAGGGCGACAGCACCCCGCCAGCGCGGGGGCCAGGCAGGGACAGGGGAGGCGCAGGGCCCAGCCCCCCCCCCTCGGCGCACGAAGGGGCTTACACCCCCCGGGGGGGGCCGAATGCGGAAAAGGTGAGCAGGCCTCACTGCGAAGGGAAACCGAGCCCCCTGGTCGCAGCCTGCACACGGGGCGGGTCTAGGGGACCTCACACGACGATGCAAGCAGTGTCCCAGGTAGACTGGTCCTGACCTGGCGCGGGCAATGCACCCGGTGGCGCACACCCGAAAAGGGGCAGACGGACGACGGCAGTGGAAGACGGTGGTCGTGGCAGCGTCGCCGAGAGGCAGCATGGAGCATGAGGCTGGTGCCCCCAAGAGGCAGCAGGCCGTCGGTCAGGAGAGCGCGAGAGACAGAGAAAGAGGGAGAGAGAGAGAGAGAGATAATGATAACGAGGGTGATAACGAGGTGTGCATATCTATATATATGTGTGTGTCTAGAGAGCGCGAGAGAGAGAGAGGGAAAAAGAGAGAGAGAGAGAGAGAGCAAGCAAACATAAAGAAAGAGACATATAGGATGGAGAATGAGGGAGTGAGGGAGAGAGGATGCCAGAATGGAGGAGCGAGGATGGAGGAGTGAAGCGCAAGGATGGAGGGATGATGAGCGAGGAGCTAGGAAGAACAGGAGGAGGAGGAGAAGGCGGATGAGGAGGAATAGGAGGGAGAGGAGGGGGTGCGAGGAGGGAGGAAGGCAGAGACAAGAGCGAGTAGCAATGAGGGGCGATGGATGGTTGGATGGGGGAACGTCGAAAGAAATGAGAAGGATGAGAAGGGTCGGACGACAACGAGGACGAGCAGCAACAGAAGAGGAGGCCCTATGAGGAACACTTAAGACTCGGTTTTGGGCGATGTGTGCCGCTTGGCGTGCTCATAATCGCGCTTGACATTATGAGAACCTCCAGCAGTCTTGTATTCGAAGAGGCATGCCTTGGGTCGTGCTCATCCTGTCATCGATTCGGCTTTCGAGTTGTTGCCTGGTCCGCGACTCGGCGCCAATTCCCCCCCGCGTAGCCCTTGGCTCGAGTGGAGTTGGCCTGAGCTTCTGGCATGGCCTTGCGGCGAGCACGCTCCTATCATCCCAGACCTCGGGCGTGCCGAGACACCACCACAGCCTTCTCGCGCGCTTCGGCGCGCGGCGGGCCGTCCCTGCGGGCCTCGGGACCCTCGGCACACGACCTGGGGGTGCTGTGGAGGGCTCTGGGGCCCACTCCATGAAAGGAGCACGACGTTCGCAGGCGATCGTTCTCCCCAGAGTCCCGAGTTCGGCGCGAAAAGTTCGTCCGCTCAGAAAGAAATGGGAAACCCTGGGATACGCCCCTGTCCGACGTCGGAGGTCTGGGACGCCATGGCTGAACACGCCAGCAGAGACCAACCCCTCTCTCTGGCAATCATCGGTGGTGGCATCTGTGGCGCTGTTGCTGCGTCGGCCCTGTCGGCTGGAGGACGGAGGGTGGACCTCTTCGATCAGGGACGGCGTGGCCTGGGGGGCCGGGCGTCCCACCGAGCGGTCGATGGCAGCGGCGTGGTGCTCCCAGACGACCCGCCGATTCCGCACGGGGCCCTCGAGTTCGACCACGGCTGCCAGTTCTTCAGGGCGGACGATCCTCGCATGCGGGGGCTCGTGGAGGAGTGGCGTGCCAGAGGCTGGGCTGATGAGTGGCGTGGCCGCTTCGGCTCTGTCGGCCAGGCCCCGGACTTCTTCGGACTGCCGTCGGTGGACGCTCCCGTGTTTGTCGGCCTCGGGGGCATGCATCGGCTGCCGCGCCAGATCTTGGATGCGTGCGACGCAGAGAGCCTCACAGTTCATCGTGGCGTGCGTGTGGCGGGTCTGCGTCAAGACGTGGATGTCGTCAGCGGGAACAGCAAGTGGGCTTTGCTCGGTGTCGGAGGGGAGGCGGCCTACCACGACACGCCAGAAGCCGACGCGAAGACGGCGCAGAACGAGGTGCTTGGGCATTTCGACGCCGTACTCCTCACGGACGTATCGGCGTGCTGACGGCATGTTCCGCCCAGCGTGTCATCGCAGCACCTGTGGGCGACCCTTCCAGAGCCGTCTTCAAGTCCGTCGCGTGCGTTAGGATGCAATTCGTGAGAGGTCAAATGTGGAATCGGCGTTGGTATATCCGTGATTGAAAACTGGCAAGATCTGGCCTAGACCCGCTTAATCAGGGTTCCTTGGTAGCCAGTCTTTTTACGCAGACCTCCCTGGAGCCGCTTCCCAACATGTGACAGCCCTCCTCCAGCGCGCCTTCCCGCAGGGCTCCATACAGCCGTGCACTGATATATTCTTCGGGGCCCTTATGGCCTTGCCGTTCGGCACCTTCTCTTTCCACGGCTTCCGGGGCCCGTGGCATGCATCTATATATGTACCTGTCGTGAACATGTATCTATGTACATCTGTATGGCAGCTCGCTTCCTGGACAGGGAGAAGGCGGTGACATGCGACAGTTTGTATTCTCAGGCATGGAGGCTCGCACCAACACCAGCATCGGCGGTTGCCTCCACCGATCCCGATCTCGGCGATGGTCATTTGCATCAGCATTCAGAACCATGCTTCATCAGCGGAGGCAACCCCTCGCCGTGGTGCCAGTGCCAATCCCAGGTCCTGAACACTTCTCGAAGGCAACTTGCCGCATAAACATATACTTTGGGAGGTCCACGCGGCGCGCCTTCAGGATCCTAGTTTCCCGATGGCCTCCCGGCCCGTACATGAAGACATCGGGGGGCTTACCGAGGAGGAGGAGGAGGAGGAGGAGGAGGAGGAGGAGGAGGCGGAGGAGGGAGGAGGAGGAGGAAGAGGAGGAGGAGGAGGAGGGGGAGGGGGGAGGGGGAGGGGGAGGGGGAGGGGGGAGGAGGAGGAGGAGGAGGAGGGAGGAGGAGGAGGAGGAGGAGGAGGAGGAGGAGGACGAGCTTCTTTGGGCTCTTGGGGCCTGCTGGTTCGGGCCATCTTGGGGCGTCTCGCGGCCATCCACCTGTTGTGCATGTGAGGGAGGGTTTCCGCGGCTGGGCAGCGGGCGTCTTGGTGCCGCCTTCGGTGGGTCCTGGGCTGTCTCGGAGCCGTTGTGGGGCGGTCCTGAGCAATCTCGGGTCAATCTCGGATGTTTTTTGCACCCTTGGGGGGCCGTCTCGGCACCGCCTGGGGCATCTTGGGGGCCGCGGGAGGTGGTGTGTGTGTGTGTTTTTTGGGGGCATTCTTGGGGGCATCGAGGGCCGTTCGTGGGTTCTTTTGGGCTGCACGCAGGCTGACAGGCAGAACACGGTAATGGAGGCTTCGCCATGGCAGCCAGACGGCACCCGTACGATGTCACTCCGCGGCGTGCGGTGGGGCGCGGTGGCGGATCTTCGTCTTTCGGTGGTTGGCATCGAGCCAGTGCCGGGGTGCCCGAATCTTTTGCTGCCAAGGTTCGACTAAACGTAAGAGTGACCCCTGGCCGGAGTGACCTTTGGTGCGGGCCCACTGGTGTCCCCCGATTGCCGAGCGCGATTGCGATGGTAGCGTCCTTGTGCGCTGGTGTTTGGTCCCCCCGTGGCCCCCGAAAAGCCGCGCACCAAGGGTAACTCTTACACAGGGTCACTCCTGCGTGTAGCCGAAAGGTGCGGGACCGCGCGCGAATCCCGCTGTTTGCGGCAATGGTTGCGTTTGCCGAGCCACTCGGCGTGCCCCTCGACGGCATCGCCTTCGGCGCCGCAGAGGCCGCCCTGTGGTGGGCGACGCGCACGCAGTCGAAGCCTGGCCTCGAGACGTGCGGCGGCGGCTCCGAGTGCTGGACGCTGATCTCTACGCCAGGTTTTGCGGTCGACGAGATCGAGAGCGAGCCGATGCAAGATGCTGCCACCGGCGCCTTCAAGCCACAGGACAACGAGTACCTCAACTCGGGCCCCGCGCCCGCACTGGTGCGGGAGTTCACGAAGCAGGTCGACCATTTGCGCTCTTCTCGTGGCCCGAATTTCGAGCTGTAATGCTATAGGTGGGGAACGTGTGGTCTTCCAGACTTCGAAGGCTTCATCTCGAGTTGGCCTGCATTGGCCTTCCAAGTCGTCGAGGCCTGGAATGCCATCTGCCCACCTCTAGCAGTGGTAGTGGGAAATCGGGCCACGATCTTCCCCAGGGTCGCGGATTCCCGACATCGTTTATCGGGCGGCCTTCGGCCCATCACGCCCCAGAGCCCCAGAAACCAGGTGCCAGATCCAGCGCGAGGGATCGAAGCATGGGAGGACTGTTCGACGCACGGCTTCCTTTTCTGGGCGTGCTCGTGCCCCGGTCCACCAAAGTCCCCGTTTAACGGGGCTCTGGCTGCCACGGTGCCAGGGCCTGTGGGGCACTGGCGCTTGCGGACTTTAGTGCCAGGGGTCGACCTGACCAGTGTTTCGGCGACATCGTGGGCCGTTTCCGTTTCGATGCTGTTTTGCAGCGCAGGCGGTCCGAAGACAAGCCGAGGGACAATTATTCACTGCGTGGAGCTCCCCATATGTGCATCTATTCGCATGGACCTGTCCGCCGTGAGTGTCTAGGCGCAAGAGTTTTCGAATATAAGCGGGCATGAGTTGTGACGGTCTGGTCATAAATCTCACTGCGAATACATTGGAGTGTGAATGAGCCTTAGTAGTCCGAGCGCGTCTCTGCGCATGAGCCTGGGGCCTTCTGGGGCCTCCTGAAACCTACTGGGGCTTCCTGGGGCCTCCAGGAGCCTCTTGGGGCCTCCTGGATTCGTGCCCCAGGAGAGGCTCACTCTATATATATATATATATATATATATATATATACATATATATATAGAGAGAGAGAGAGAGAGGAACAGACGTACATAAAACATTGCGGATTGGAGCCACAGGAAAGGTCAACCTATAGGAACACACGTAAAACACCAAGGACTCGTGCCCCAGGAGAGGCCCAATATATATATATATATATATAGAGAGAGAGAGAGAGAGAAACATAAGTAAAACATTCAGGATTGTGTACACATGAGAAGTACAATCGACAGAAACATACGTATAACATCAAGGATTCGTGCTACAGGTGAGGCACAATCTATAGGAGTATACGTAAACACACATGGGATTGGAGCCACTCCTGTCGCCTTCCGAGGCCTCCTGCTCCTTGGGCCTCTCGGGGCCACCTGTTGCCTTCCGAGGCCTCCTGGCGCTTCCTGTGGCCTCCTGGGGCCTCCTGTTGCTTCCTGAGGCCTCCTGGAGCTTCCTGGGGCCTCCTGGAGCCTCTTGGGACATCCTGTGGCCTCTTGAGTCTTTCTGTGGTCTCCCGATGCCTCCTGGGACCTCATGTGGCTTCCTGGGGCCTCCTGGAGCCTGATGGAGCCTCTTGTGGCATCCTGAGGAAAATCTGTGTCCACGAGTCTGGCCACCAAAACAAGCAAACCGATCGAGGCATCCTCAAAATCTGGCCCACCTGGGGGTGAAAATGAGCGCCTCGCCTGAGACATCCTCCACATCTGCTCCGAAAGCGAAGGATGCTGGCGACCAAAACAGCAAACCGTTCGAAACATCCCACAAATCTGCTCTCCAAGCGAAGGATGTTGGGACAGAAAGCAGGCAAACCGCTTGGGATATCCCAGCAAAAAAAACGGCCGCGAACGAGACCGTGCAATATCCCTCGGCGGCTCTCCTTAGGGGTGCTGGAACCAGCGCCCCGCCTGAGACATTCTCACAATCTGCTCCCCAAGCGAAGCATGGTGGGACAGAAAACAGGCAAACCGCTTGAGACATCCCCACACAACGGCCGCGAACGGGACCGTGTCATACCCCTTGTCGGTTCCCTGTAGGGGTGTTGAAACACGCGCCCCGCCTGAGACATCCTCACCATCTGTTGTGTGTTGAGTAAGTCAGACAATCAGAAGGTCTGAATCTGAGTAAGTCTGGTTATGAGTGAATCTCAGCATGAGTAAGTCTGATTATGAGCAGGTCTGAGTATGAGTCGGTCTGAGTATGAGTGAGCTAATCTGATCAGGTCTGAGTATGAGTAAGTCTGTGTATGTGTAAGTCTGTGTAGGAAGAAGTCTAGGTATGCGGAGGAGGAGGAGGATGAGGCGGCGGAGGAGGAGGAGGAGGAGACTGAGAGGAATGAGGCGTAGGAGGCCTACAAGTAACAACAATAACCCCACCTTAGGATATAGGGAACAACAGCAACACGAAACACGACACACACTGGTGTAGGTCGATCCTTGTTGCGGCCCTGCGTGCTGGTGGTCCTGGCCTCGAGAGCGCCCTGGCAGCACCCTTCCGAGCGCAGGGCCGCGGGCCGCCCTCGAGAGCCCTCCAGGGCATCCCCCTTCAGAGGAGGACGAGATACCCATACCCTTCAGTCGGGCATGTCTCTTACAGGAGGATTCAAAATTAGGCCAGGGATAGTCTGGGGACGATGTTTCAACCATTTCTGACTATGTTTGAATATTGTTGTGACTTCTTTTTTTTGTTTTCGTTTTTCTTCCCAAACGCACCTGTAGGAGGACATGCCCGACCTTACCATTCCCCTGCCCTTGCCTCGTTTTCATTTTTTGTGACTCATAGGAGGCCCTCGTCGCCACCGCTGGATTCGCCTAGAAATCCTGGTTAGAACGCACCCCGGGAGAGCTCCGTGGAGCAGCGGCCTCGGTACCTTTTGGTGCCCCCACCCCTGTGCACCCTCCACAGCCGCGGGAACCATCGCGGACCCAAAGCGGACACCCCTCCGCGGGACGCCAGAGACATGCCGATCACCGCTTCACAGGCAGCTCACGCTGTAGCGCAGCGTCGCTGCCGTGTATTGCAGTCAAGTTGTAGAGGTGAGCGATTGTTTCGCGGCGGGGAGAAAACAGGCAGGCGGCAGTCTGATCTTCTCGAGCCGGGCGCTCTTCCCCGATCTCGGCCTCCAGATGGGGCCCTCTTTCTCGGGCCCCGGGACCCTCAGTAACGACGTCGGGGCGAACCACTGACCCAAGGGAAGGGGTCGGGACTTCCTGGGGCCTCGCATCGAACAAGCCAGGCCGCCAGATGCCTGGGCACTCCACGGTCCTCGACGAGGGTGCGCTCCAGCCAGATGCTCGAGGCGAGTCCAGGCGTGGCGGCGAGAGCTCTCATTTACGAGCAGCGGCATCGGCACCTTCATGACTCCTCTGATGCACTTCGTGCCACTCAGATGTCCGACGATCGATGTTCATGCTTCTGTCTTCACGACGTGGCTCCCAAGAGGTCACAGAGGTCTAGACCCCTTTCCCCAGACTCGCGTTTCGTCCCGATTCTGTGCTTGAAGGTCCCGGGGCCCAGCGATCACCCCTGGAGGCCGAAAATGACCACACACACCCCGTCCTTCGTGTTTTTTCGCCAGCGCGTGGGGGTGGAGTTTTACGGCCCCTCTGATCGCACTGCGTGCCAGGGGCACGCCTGCGGATCTCCAGGGCCAGCGCTGGGGCTCGGGGATGCCGGCTCCTCGCCACGTCGGCGGGCGCGACGCCCTGGGGCGCGGCCCATCGACGGTGCGCCTCATGGGTGTCGACTACGACCGCGCCGTGCCGCCGCTCGTGTTCGACCGCCCGTCGGCGGCGGAGGGCTGCTCGGACTACATCGCCGAAGAAGGGGCGTGGCATACGCGTGGAACTTTCTGAGCTCCGCGCGGACTTCTTGGATCGGCGCTGGAAGCCCCCCTGGGGGCGCCTCCAGCGCCGCCCCTGGCGCGCTCTGCGCGCCAGGGAGGGGGGGGGCCCAGCGCCGATCCAGGAACGCCGCGCGGAGCTCCGACAGCTTTCGCCTATGCGCCTTGTTTTCTTCCACACGTCGCCGACGGCTCGATCGGGCTGTTCTACGCCGGCGACTTCACGTCGCACAGGGCTCCTGGCTTCGAGGCGTGTGCCCTTTGCGGGGCTCCCAGGGGCAACGACAGGGGGGCACATGCGCAGGGGGGAGGAAGAGGAGCAGTTGGAGGAGGTGGAGGAGGAGGAGGAGGAGGAGGGGGCGGAGGAGGAGGACTAGGAGGGAGGAGGAGGAGGAGGGGGAGGAGGAGGAGGACTGGGAGAAGGAGGAGGAGGAGGAGGAGGAGGGGGAGGAGGAGGCGGAGGAGGAGGAGGAGGAGCAGGGGCTCCCAGGGGCACAGGCGCAGGGGGGAGGGGGAGCACCGAACCCCAATCGCCCATGCATCGGGGCCGGGGCGCCCCACCCCGCCCAGGGAAAAGGGGCGGTTTTGCTGTCGCTGCCGTATCTCGAAGAAGAAGAAGAAGCATAATCGCCATAATCAGAAACTTTTTGTGCGTTCCGCGCAGATGTCTTCGGTGTGCTTCTCAACCGCAGCATGCTGACGTGTTCCCCACGACAGCGTGTCATTGGTATTTTTAAGAAGAAACACTCTGGACGTCCGAAAAAGGTACGGAAAGAGTGGGTACAATGCCCAATAGCAGTTCCTGTTCATCTTGAACAGGACTCGCTGTCCACGCCGCCGCGGCCTGTGTCCATTCGAGACAGAAGGCCGCCTGCCCAACAGCGGCCACTGTTGGTTTGGGACAACATTTGTTGTTGGGCATTGTACCCATTCTTTCCGTGCCCATTTCGGGCGTCCAAAAACACTCTGGGGCGCTCCGCGCGGAGCTCTTGGATCTGCGCTGGCCCCCCCTGCCCCCCCCGGCGCCGCCCCTGGCGCGCTCCGCGCTCCGTGTCCGGCGCAGATCCACGAAGTCCGCGCGGAGCGCCACAAGTTTACGTTTATGGCGCCGATCTACCGGCGATGCATCGCCGATTCCGAGCCATTATGTCATCCCCCTGAGCCGTTCCCCCCCTCTGGGGGAGGCAAGACGAGTATTAATAGCACGCCAGCGTTGGGAGCCCCTCGGCGTGGTATTTCCTCGCGCTCGCCCGACGGCCTGGTGCTTCCACAACCGCAGCATGCTGATGCGTTCCCCACGAGTCAGCGGCGAGCGAGGGGGGACATGGGAAGGAGAAGGCCTTCTCAGAAGCCGGTTGCATTTCTCAGAAGCCCTTGCGCCTTCTGAGAGTTGTTCTGTGTCTTCGGGGAAGGCTTAGAAGCTTAGAACACTTGTCAGAAGGCCAGGGGACTTCCGAGCCGTCTGAGAAGGCCCGCCTCTTGTCATTTCCCCTCCAGACTCGCCGTTGATCTGATGTGTTCGCCACGACAGCGTTTCTTTGGTATTGCTTTTGCCGCCGGAGGGTTCCCTTCCGAGCCAGTCTCCCAGTCCCTCGGTAGCAAATCATGGGAGC